ACTGTCTGCGCATGTGCCAGGGGTACATCCAAAGGGCGACAGCGTTCTGAATCCTGTGTATGAAGCTCCTGTTGTGGCTCTGGATCGGTGGGATGTCTTCCCAGACACCAAAACCCAGTTGGGCCTTGTAGCAGACCAAGGACAGGAGCCAAAAGCTGAAGCACTGCTTGAAGCCAAGGCAGATGGCTGTCTGGAGCTGGTCAAGAAGAGGCAGGACAGAGAGAGAACTCCTAGGAAGGCAGGTGCTGCTAACATGAACAAAGCTGGAGGAGACCAGGAAAACGAGCAGCTCAGAAGCTCTGCAGTTGTTCCAGAACCTCCTGAAAACGTTTGGAAAGCTGAATGGGATCTGCCATGCATCTCCAAACCACCCATTGAGAGGATTTCTGCATCAGGCCAGGCAGGCACTGAGTGGACGTAGGAGTAGGACGAGTCCTAGCCAGGACTGTTCTGACGGCGCACTAACAATCTGTGTGTGGTGTGAGCGTGCCCAGAGTCACCCACGCTAACAGCATGCAGCTCTGAGCAGTGTTGCTGACAGCGGCATGGCACAGAGGTGTGAAATCCTCTGCTTTATCTTGTGGTCTCTTCTGCATGTCAGTCAGCAGCACAGAACATGGCAGCTTGCAGGGAATTCCCTGCAAAATGAACTTTTATTCCTTACCCGGGGTAAGGCTCCGTCCGTGGAGGCCTCTGAAGAGCTAAAAGGCAGTTTCATGCCATGGGACGATGTTCCGGACTTGGGATGGCAGCTCCTCTGCTCTGCTAGCCTTTTGAGGTGTCATTGCTGGAGCTGTCAGTGTTCCTTCCGGCCCTGAAGCACGCTGTGTGCACCAGACACCTCCGACCAAGGGTCGCATGCCTGGAAAGGGCAAACGCAGAGAGGCTGCTCTCTGTCCTTGTGATGCCGAGCTTTCTTTAATGTTCCCCGGAGCGGTCATGCTGCACCTCCTATCTTGGCTTCCTGCGGGTTAATCTTTCCCTTCCTTTTCTAGACAGTTATTTTTGGCTGCTGTGATTATCCTTACGGGGTTTTTCCTTGCACTGAGTCACTGTTCCGGGCTCTGCCAAGAGGAATTTTGGCATTGTGAAATAAATGTCATCACTCTTCCTGCTCACAGTTGTCACTAATGGCTTGAGTTTGTGGTGTTGCATCTTGGGGCTTGCTCTGACTTCGCTCTTCTCTGCTGATACTATTACCTTTGTCCTTTAGATTAAATCTTTAATTAGGAGGACAAAAGAGACGGCGAATGTCCATCCAATGTCTCGTGACCTCTCTCCAAGGCGTAAACTCGGTCCTGCCATATTTCACAAGACTGAGTCGCAAGATCGCTTGATTGAAGAGCTGCAGGACAGGCTGGGCATCGCTAAACAGGAGCAGGAAGGATGGAAAGGCCGGGATGAGTGGCTGACAGAGGGGGTCATTATCACTGCCAGACCCCAGGGGGAGGAGCAGAATGGTGGACAGCAAGTCGAGAAGGTAGAGAGCAGGGACATGTGCTGGGAAATTCCAGTGTGTCCCTTTGTCCGTGTAGCATTGTGTGGAGGTGCAGATTAAGTCTGTGAGTGTCCCGAGCAACAGGGACTGAAGAACTCGCTCTTCCTGCTCACCCTTGTCGGGCCTGAAAAGCCAACCGGCACCTGGGTCCAAGTTCTTGACGTTTAAGGATTGGTGTGGGATCTGCTGGCTGTACGTTTGGGCAGTCTGCCGCTCTCCTGGCTAACGTCCATGTAGGGGTTGGTTTTAAAACCGTGCCTGTCACAGAGGTGTGCTGCACCTGTGTGGGAAGTTCTGGGTGTAAGGTGATGCTCTTTCCCGAGCTACACAGGGAAGCACGTTTTCTAGTTTCCTTCTCTTCCTGCCTTTTCCCCTGAGATAAACATAGTGGTATCAACCTGCCTTCCTGTTGCAGGAAGTGCTCCTTTTGGATTTATTCACCTTTCTTCTTCTTCCTCCGTGTCTTTCTAGGTGGTTTTTCCTCCAGAATCCCCGCTCCCCCCAAGGAGGACGGTCTCTGTTCCAGCCTCTCCCTCGCTCCAGCCTTCCAAAGAAGCTGCAAAGACAGGCCCTGCTAACGCTGCTCCCTCTCATCTCTCTGGCCCTGCACCTCTCCTCCCACTTCCACCTCAGCCTTCCCATCTGCCACCTACCCCAGCTCCTAGTCCGGCCTCCTCCTCTTCCTTCAGCTTGGCTCCCCAGCCTCTCTTCGGGTGGGAAACCTCTGACGATGATTACCATGAGCTTTCTGTTGGGGGCACCCCTCCTGAAGACCCCAGGCACTCATGTTCTCCCCAGATCTGGACCCCTGGCACCAAAACGGTTGTTTCCGTTGGCTGTCAGACTGAAGAGGATGCTTTCTTCCCACAGGTGCAGGCAGGCTTCTTTCTTCTCTTGCGTTTTTTAGCAGTGTTTCCCAGTCCGGCTACTGGTCTGCGCTGGGTAGCTCAGGAGATAGCAGTGTTGGGTAAGGCTGGTACTGCTAGATCGGAGAGAGGACTCACTGCCAGTACCTAATCCCAGCTGTGCCCATCTAGCACCACAGAGCACAGCTCTCTGCGATGACCTGCCGGTGCGTGTGTGGTTCCTGTCTGTCCCGATGATCGCTCTGTGCAGCAGGGACTCTATTTCCCTCTGAGACGAAGCAGGTAGTTCTGAAGCACAGGCTGCCTCTCCCTGTGTCTCCCTGCCACAATCTCTCTTGGATTGCGGGAGTGAAAACTGGCAAAGTCAACACTGGAAAGAGCAGATCAGCAGTGTGTCCTGTGCTTGCCTGCTTAGATGGGTGCCCACAGGGCAAGTGAGTTTTGAGGAGGAGATGGTACGGTTGCTGTGTTCTGTGTCTCCTGCCTGGGAGGGGCGGCAGCTCCGGGATGGTGGGAGGTCAGTGTGTGAGCGGTGCAGCATTACCTGTACAGACAGCGCAAGCAGTGAGCAAGGCAACCTCTGCAACTTGAACTGTTGTACTTCGCAGGTGACCTCTGCTCCTCCCCTCGGCCGCAGAGTCCATCTGCCGGCTGCTCATGCACCTCTGGGCCCCCCGGCCCCTGCGAAGGGAGGACCTCCTTTCTGTTTCCTTGGCACGGTGTGCGCCCTTCTGGGCGATGGGTGTGCTGCAGATGCTGCTGGGACCTGCTCCTAGAGCTCCTGGTGCCACGAGCGCCGACCCTGCAGTGCACCCTTTGCTGCTCCTAGGGCTCCTCCCTCAACCTGAGTGGAGGCAGAGCTCGTGGGTGAAGGGTGGGACCCTGGAGGGCCTTTGCATGATGAATTGGTGTGGATGCTGTGCTGGGTAAACAGCAGGACTTGTGGGCAGGAGGTGGAAACAAGCCTTTTTCAGGTGAGGGCTCACCCCAGGGCCGGGTCAGCGGGCCAGGAGGAAAGGGTAGTGTCCCCAGGCTGTCGTGCCTGCGCTGAGGTGAGCTGTGGTCCCTGCAGGCAGGGGTGAAGTGCTCCGTTGCTACACATTGAATGAATCTCACCTCCTTTCTCTCCAAGTGGTATTTATCACCGGCAGTGGCATTTGAGTGTGCCCTGCCTGGTGGCCACAAGCCCCTGGTTCGAGTGAGAGGATATGATTCTCTCGACATGGCCTAGCCCTTTCCCGCCTGCTGTGCCGTGCGGGAAGCCCTGGCTTCGTCCTGGGAGCCTGGCCTGGCTGTGTGTACAGAGGGGCCGGTTGTCTCCCCGCGGTGAGAATGCCCCCTGCAGTGCCATGCTTCGGAGACGCTTGCTCCAACCGGTGGGCAGCAGAGAACTGCTGCGTGGTGGAGGCTTTGCTTCCAGCTCGGGATGTTGGGGTGTGATGGGGCTGTTCTCTGCTGCTGGACTAGGGGAGGGTGCAGGCTGTGGGGAGAGGAGGGCGAAGCTGCGTTGGGCTCTGCTGGGAGTCACGCTGCACGCAGGGCAGAGCTGGTGAGGGACATGTGTATGTGTGTGTAAAAAAAAAAGCTAGAATTACGTATGTCGTGAGAATTTTTAGACAAACATGTAGAAACCAGGGTTTGTCACTAGGTAAACTAGTTGACTGCAAGTATGCCCAGCGGCAGGATGGGGATAGAGCTCCTCCTGTGGCTGGAAGGGCAGGTTCTGCCAGGGCTCTGGAGCGCTTCAGCAGGTCCTCGCTCCCCTGGCTGTGCGGGCAGCAGGCTGGTGGGTGTTCACAAGGGTAGATTTTATGTCTCTCTTAATCTGTCCTCTTAGTAAGAGACAACACGTGGTCCAGACCAGCATCTGGGCGTTGGGTGTCTCTAAACCTGACGGTAGCTACTGCAGTGCAAAGTCAGTCAAAATAAGCTGTATTTCATTGTTGCAGTTTGCCTGCGAAGGGGACTTGGGTGGCCAAAGAGAATGTAGCTGCTGTGTTTATAAGATCTGAACCTAGCTAAAATGTTTCTAGAGCCTTTCCAAGCCCTGTGTGCTGTGATGGTGTGAGTTTCAGACACTTCGAGACGAGTGTCTTAGTCCCGGTCCCCCATAGGATGAGACAGCTGCCTGATGGGGGCAAAGGAGGCTTGGAAAGAATTGCCAGAGGTGGTGCGAAGGGGGAAGGCATTGTAGCTGAAAGGGAGGTGAGATGAGGGATCTCTATCAGAGAGAGTGACAACTGAGCGAGAAACAGCAGAGAAGTAGGGCGAGGTCAAGGGGAAGGGGCCCTCCGGCTGGCGTGGGCTTTGTCAGCTGGCCAGGAGGTGGTGAGGTGAAGGGAGATTGTTGGCAGGGGCTCAGAGCACCATGCTGACTGCTTGGGACTTGCTGGTCCTGTGCACGTCGTGAAGGCGGAGGTTCACAGCCCTACTGTTACACATCCCAGGGTCTCTGCATGGGCAGAATACATGTGTGTACTTGATCCTGGCTCTCACCAGCTTCTGCGGAGAGCGTAGCTGTTCCCTGGCAGTCTCCTGCCCATCTCTACAGAGGAGCCACTGGCAGCAACAAGAGACATTTATCTTGTAAGCACAGCAGCACTTGCCTTACAGTCTTCGTTTTCTCTTCCCTGCAGTTCATGGCGCAGGGGAAAGCCGGGAGCAGCTCCCCTCCATCCACAGCCTCCAAGCCTGGCAGTCAGCTGGACACTATGCTGGGAAGTCTGCAGTCTGACCTGAACAAACTGGGTGTAGCTACGGTTGCCAAAGGTGTCTGTGGAGCCTGCAAGAAGCCTATTGCTGGGCAGGTGAGTGGAAGGTGCTGTCTCATTGCTGACTCTTGGGCTGCAGCTGGGAGTAGTGGGAGGGCTGTTTCGTGAGGCTGAAGAGACTGGAGATGCTGGAGAAACTGAAGTACTCTATTTATCCACTGGCTAGGTACGCTGTAAGCTCCTCCAGTGACCTCTACCCTGCCCTTGAGGGACTGCCCTCTCCTGAGATGATAGGTAATTCAGTTTTCATGCTACCCCAGTCCAGGGCTCACTTGAGTAGTAGAACTTGTCATTCTTGCTGACCTCCAGCTGGTATCTTGTCATGCGGTCTAGGGGAGAGAGAGAGAGAGTTGTCCTTCATAATCTCTTTTCCCAACAGGTAGTTACAGCCATGGGGAAAACCTGGCACCCTGAGCACTTCGTCTGCACCCACTGCCAGGAAGAGATCGGGTCGCGGAACTTCTTTGAGCGGGACGGTCAGCCCTACTGCGAGAAGGACTATCACAACCTCTTCTCCCCTCGCTGCTACTACTGCAACGGGCCGATCCTTGATGTGAGTTCCCTGGGGGGATTAAGGGTGCTGGCAGGGTGCTGCAGGCCTGGGTGTGGAAAAACTCTACTTCAGCAGGCGTCCAGGGTGGAAAATTTTGTTTAGGGGCTTGGTTTTTTTCCCTTTGCCCAGGCCCTGAAAGGGAAACGACTTGACCCAGTCAAATTCTTACACTAGTGAGAGGAGTGAGTCCCTCTTACCTTCGCTGGAGTTCCTTCAGAACCCCGCGTTGCTCCATCATTCCCGTAACGACTCCTCAGCGGGAGCCTGTAGTAACAGGCACCAGCGCTAGTCCTGGGAGCCGGGCGGGGCCCTGTAGAAGGGAGGAAGCCGTGCGCAAGGTCCTTTTAGGGTAAAAAAAAGCGTGCGGTGGGGAAAGCCTGAGTGAGCCAGAGGCGGGGGAGAATCGAGTCAACTCTCTCAAGGACAGTCTATTTTAGTGCATGCTCTTGTCAGTACCAGCGTTAATGTGTTCCCCCCTGCCCTCACCTCCGAGCTGAAGCCATCGTTTACCTGACTTGCACTTTGTCTTCTTCCGAGCAGAAGGTGGTGACGGCTTTGGACAGGACATGGCATCCTGAACACTTTTTCTGTGCCCAGTGTGGAGCTTTCTTCGGACCTGAAGGTATTGCTGGTTTGTACAGTCCCCTCTCCGAGCTGCCCACAAGTGTGTAGGGCAGAGCTGCTCTTCGGGGACAGCCCGAGTGATGACAGGGGGCCTCCGGAAGATGGAAATTCCGAGGGATATAGCTGTTTATGGAGAAAGGATGCTAGCAGTAGTCATCTTCAGTCCCTGGAGGGGACGAGTATCCATGTGCATGTTGCGCGTGGGACAGGAAGGGAAGCAGAGCAAGGAACAGCTATCCGCTGTGTCTGTGCCTCAGCAGAGGGGGGTGGCCCCGCAGGGTTGGCTGGCGTGAGGCAAAGCCCAGGAGCTGATTCGCTTTGCCTCTGTTCTCCGTTGGCAGGATTTCATGAGAAGGACGGCAAAGCCTATTGCCGCAAGGACTACTTTGACATGTTTGCTCCCAAGTGTGGAGGCTGTGCCCGGGCTATCCTGGAGAACTACATCTCTGCCTTGAACACCCTGTGGCACCCTGAATGCTTTGTCTGTCGGGTAAGAAACCCAAGGTCCTTCGCTGCTGCTCTGCGACCCCTCTCATTTCCACCCTGCAGGCATCTGGTCCCCTCTCAGGAAGAGGCGTCTGTGGGGTAGTGGAGGGCAGCCAGCCCCACAAGAGAAAAACATGTCAGCAACCAAACACCTTCTTGGTCCTCTGCCTGTTTACATTCAGCTTTCTAGCTGCTTTGCTCTTTCTGTTCCCAGCTGCAGTTATGGGCTTCTGCAGCAGCTCACAGATAAACAGAGACATTTTCTGTGACCTTTTAAATAATTATAAGCTAAGCTTCTCTCTAAGCACTTGCCTCAGCAATCAGATTTTGAGGATCTGCCTCCCATGCACCATCTGACAATGTAAACTAATGAGACTGACCTTGTTCAGACAAACATGCAAGGCAGTGAAATAGTGGCAGGCTCCATCCAACAGGCATAATAAACAGGAATACTGCAGATTAAATGCTTGGCACTCTTTCAGAGAGCCTTGCAAACATTAACTCTTGCAGGCCCCAAGAGATGAGCAACAGCAGGCAGTGTTTCTTAGAGCGGGGAAGGCAGGCAGAGCCCAGAACAAGCAGCAGCACCGCGAGCAGCCGATTCCTGGGATGATGCTCAGAGCAGACTGTCACCCTGCTCCTGGGACTGCCTGTGGCCGCTGCAGGGGTGTGTGGAGAGTGGCGGCAGGGGAGGGCAGTCCTGGCTGCACGGAGCTGGGGAACGACGTGCCTTTTTGTGCAGGGATGGAGACTTGTGTCAGGCTGTTCTGCTTTCCTTCCCCCCCTGGCTGCCACGCTGAGTGTTAGTGGGGCCAGCACTGATGTCTTCCATGGCACCAGATGGGATTCTCTTCCTGGTTTTGCTAAAGCAGAGCAGGCTTTTCAGCTGTCCTGGTGTCTGAGGGAAGAGACTGTTTATTGAACTAATTGTCAGCATTAGAAAAGTCTTGGACTCGCTGCTGGCAAATGGCGTTTGGCCCTGCACTGCGAGTTTAGCTGTCTGCAGCTCTGCATGCTGTTTGCTGGGCTCCTGTGTACGTGGTGGGGTGCAGCTGCGTGGGGTACTCTGTGTCCTCCCTGGGGAAGAGGACGAGGCTGAGCTAAACCAGGATTCTGGAAATCTGGCTTCTCTGGGCCTTGCTGCTGATGTATTTGGTAAGTCTGGCAGCATCCTCAACTCTCTCCCACATCCTGCTGCCTCAGTTTCCCACTCGTACAAGGAGGGGGTTCTCCCCAGTCTTGCGGGGATGGTGGGCGCTTCTGTAACGTTGCATCCTCAGCTGCCTGCCGCTGAGGGCCTGAGGAGCTCTGGACGCTAATAGGCACGTAGCTGGTGTATCCCCTTCTCCTCACCTCTTCAAAATCATTAGCGCTGGAGAACAAGCAGTTTCTCCCAGTAGCAGTGCGTGTGTGCCTGGTGGAGATGTTTCAGGATGGACAATCCTGCGCAATGCCGGCTGTTCCGAGGGATCCCTTGTAAAGATTAATTGTGCCTCGTTTTCTCAGCTGGAATCAGTCCGTGTTCATCAAAATTCTGCTGCCTGAAAGTCTGCGTTGGTCCCTGCTTCTGCCTTTCGCAGTGGGGAGGCTGGAGTGAGATTAAAAACACCCAGAGGGGGAAAGGTGCTGTGGTGTTTCCCAGCTCGGGGGAAGGAGTTCTCCCTTCTCGTGGCTGGACACATCTGGTAGCTCATCTGTAGCGTTTCATAGAATTTCCTTGTGGAAGCGAATCCAGCTGGGGGAAGGAGCACGGTTAGTTCCCCTGCTTGTGGCTCTATCTGTCCATCTCTCAGCTTTTCCCTGGAAACCCCTCTTGACGGACAGCGTTTGGCTCTTTGGACAGCAGGAGGGTGCTGGAAGGCAGCGGTTCACCCTGCCCGCAGTGCAGCGAGGCTGTGCCGCAGAGCAGAGGAGGCTCGTGGGGCTGCCCGCGCTCCCGGCTCGTTACACAGTCTGTCCCCTCTGCTTTACCCTCCTGCAGGAGTGTTTCACACCATTCATCAACGGCAGCTTCTTTGAGCATGACGGGCAGCCCTACTGCGAGGTGCATTACCACGAGCGGCGCGGCTCGCTCTGCTCCGGTTGCCAGAAGCCGATCACGGGACGCTGCATCACTGCTATGGGCAAGAAATTTCACCCCGAACACTTTGTCTGTGCCTTCTGCCTCAAGCAGCTCAACAAAGGAACCTTCAAGGAACAGAACGACAAGCCCTACTGCCAGAACTGCTTTCTCAAGCTCTTCTGTTAGAGGCATCCTAGACGGGCGCTAAAGCATCTTTCTGCCACCCCCTTGGCAGTTCTGTCTCTCTGAACATTACTGTGATTTCGAAACCTTACCAGGCAGGGGAGGAGGGGGGGCGGG